GTTCTGGACCAACATTCCAAACTATGCCTCTCCAGTCGTGCACTACTCAAGTTATAGCAATAAGTTGTAACTACATTAACTTGTTTAGGAGGAATTGCTTTGCATGATGTCACCTGTTGTGTAGGAATGTGCTTTTGCCTTTTGTTCTGAGGAACCGGATGCTTCCATGCAGGATGTGTGTGAAGGTTGTCTTTCATGTATCGTTACCACAGAGATGAATAACTGTGGCCCTCCACGCATTGGCCTGCAACTCGCATCATCTCAGACCATTGGCAATGCTAGTTGGTGGACCGAATTTAGAATCTAACAATACGTGAAAGGCTACAGTTGCCTAATCCTGCAATACAGCTTTTCGTTACCTCAATAACATCCTGCAATAACATTTGCAACTTTTTCCATTTTACTGTTTCCTTTTTCTACCATAATCGTAGGTTTAAGGTTTGCAACAGTACAGTGAAGCCTCTCTCCCATTTAATTTTGTTTTCTTGCACCTCCTGCATGGCAGTTTGCTGGCTGTTTATGCATGTGTGCATATTTCTATGTATTGTTTTAGGAATTTTGTGGCTGGCTCATAAACAAACCAAAAGTAAACAAAGTAAAACAAGCTCAGCATAAACACATTAAAAATGGAAAAGTTTGAGAAAGCAGCATGAAAGCATGGTATCACCTGAGGGTCAGAATTACTTTAACTCAGGGGTGGGCAATTATATGGGGCCCAGGGGTCATTTTCATTCCCTGGCCCCCACAGAGGCTGTGCATGGCCTGTAGGCATCCAAAAAGCTACATACTCTTCGCACATGCACATGGGCACCCCCAGAGAGATCTGTAGCAGCAATGGAGTACTAAAAGGATCAGCAAGGCTTTCGGTGTCCTGAAGCTGCTACACCAAATAAAGATAAATTCAGACTGGAGCGGCAGCAATGCCACATGTATCCGATAGGCTGTGTGTTGCCTACCCTTACTTTAAATCCTCTTCAGTTATCAGCAGAACTAGTTTGAAAAATAAGATGTGGTTGGAAGTTGTGGAAGCAGCATTGTATGTGATTGTGGGGAAAAGGAGTAGATTGCTTTGCTTTAGGTCTACTTTCTTGTAGTGAAAATATAAATTTCTTATATATAGCCAATCTTGTGTGAAGTTACTTGGCATATGGAGAGTCATTTTTAAATGTTAACTTGTTACTCAGATGTGTTTGGCCCTTTGAGACATGAACAAGTTAAATAAAAAGTGGTATCTAAGTCCTTCCTAAGTCTGAAGTCCAGATGATGCGTGCCCCATGGTCTTGTCTAAGTCTTCCTGGAGTTTCTTTATTGTCTGCTCAAGATGCAGTTGTTTAAATTCCTTTCTAACAGCTTTGTGTCTTTCTCATGCTTCCAATCTCATTTCATTTTTACTCTGAAGTGGATGCATGGGGACTAAACTAGATCTTTCAGGGATTTGAGCTTATCAGCCCCCCCCCCCACCATCTATTCTAGAGTAAAAATAATAATTAAAAATGGAAAGCAGAACCAACAAAGATTTGCAGTCATACTTGTTTTGATCTTCAGTGTAACATTGTATATAGACTGAGCAAAAGTTATCCATCTATTTCCAGTAAATTCCAGAGGTTGAAAGAAATTCAATTTTTCATTCAGCTTCAAAAGAGCCCTAAAACTTGCACTGTTTTTTACAGTCTAGATACAAAGTGTTGCTTACAGAAAGCTGTAGAGGAAGTTTCACTTTTGTGAAAGCTAGTTGGTAGTTGTGCTATTCCTGACCTAGAACTTCATGTGAAAGGAGTGGTTTGCATACCTAATCAGTAAAAATAAAATAAACATCATTTTCAACATGAAAATCATATCTGTAGCTTTATTACATATGAAAGTCTCGTGAAAGAAGGCTTATAGTATGGTTCCACGTTTTGATGGGTTGTCCCCGCATCTTCTGGTCATGCAAGTTTACATGGTGCATGTCAACTTAAGTATTGCCTTTTACTCTTTCTAGGAACAGCTGGCTAATAATGTCACAGTGGAGAGAATGTTTCAATTAATGGTCCTGTGCATGACCTCAGTTTTTGGCTTTTGATTTTTAGAAAATAATATTGCATAGTAAAAGTTTATATGTGGAAGATCTGAGCAAATTAGATTACTTTCTATTTAAACTGAAAAACAAAGCAGTTCAATATAATTTGTTCTCAGTGCAAAGTATTGATTTAAAATCACAATGGCACATTTGCACTTCTTTACTTTTTCAGTAGGTGGTGCTAGAAAGTCATGCAATGGCTTTTTCAGGTAAAGGCCTGGTGTTAAGTGATATCATTAATCCCAAAGATATTCACATTAATTATAGATAGTTTTAAGATTATCACAGCCTAATTTGTGTGTGCATGTTTTGCGAGCCAAGGAGAGTATCTTAGAAAAGACTGCCAGTCCAACATTCTGAACTCAGATTTAGATATATGGTAATTAATGAGAACATGGGAAGAAGAATAGTGCCTTGGCCCTAGCAATAAGGCAGTACAATTAGTTTTATAAAGCCTGCTATCATTTGGAGGAGGGGTATTGTTGATCCTCCTGAGCTTAATGCCATCTGTATTCTTCACATTTCAAAGATCTTAACACAGTTCCTTCATCATCCAGTGTTTGTCAGAAACTCAGCTTGGAAATCTACATTTTATTTTATTTCATCTCCTACCAATATGTTCTTTCCCTTAAAAAAGGATATTGAAATGTATTATTGTCCTGCTCACATTACATGCACAGCTGGCATTATGAAAGGTTAAGGAGGTGATCTTTCCATGATCTTTCTGCGCTGATTATAGTAGAATGTACAAGTCTGGAAAAAGTGAATCCTCAGATTCCTCGATCAGTAACCTTTGCACATTTAAATGGATAAAGCAACAAAAGTTATTTGGAAATAAAAATCCGGACAGTTTGACAACTCAGCTTCATCAGTTCATATTTTCATCTTCACGGGCTCATAAATTTTCCCTATTGGATGATACAATGGAATTAATGCAAGAAATTTCAAAGGTTCCAACAAACATGGGAGTTCACCACGATAAAATGAAATTGGAATTCACCATAGTAAATGAAAATGTAATCAAGTTGGATTATGATGGACAAAAGGAGTCAGCAGACTGGGGACTAAAGAGCATCCCTGAAACACACATAAGGATTTGCACTGGTCCTAATAAATGGATGGCTTGTCTTTACAAATTTTTTCTCCACCAGGTTCTGTCTATGCAACCGACTGGATTATGTGATATCAGAAAGGCCTGCACTACAGAGGAGATACACAACTAAATGCTGGATATTAATGACTAAAATGCTGGATAGTAGCCATTTCTAAAAATGCTGGATCTTAATGGCTGATACAGCTGTGGACAAAAGGCAGGCACAATGAAGTATTTATTTTCTTAACCCAACAAACTCATAATGATTTGTTGAAGTACCCTACCTCTGCTCTTAGATACAACCTAAGAATAAAGGATAGAACAATTTAGCTAAGAATGTCAGGACCCAGTACTGATTACTGAAGTTCCCATTGGAAATACAGAAGCAAGACTGTATTATAAATAAGTACTTATCATCAATATTGCCCATGAAATAATTCTGCTCATTGCATCTACTGGGCTAATGTTGTTTTACAGTGGAACATTTTCCTTTCATTATAGGTTCAATATTAAATATCTGTTTTGTTTTCCTTTCTTTGTCATCATATAAGTTTGAATTTCTACCCTCTGTTCTATACCTACAGTGTTGTATTTTGAAAGGCTTTCATTTACAAACAGTGATAGCTATTGCACAGAATATTGTAAAATATATTGTAAAAGAGCAACAGCAGCAAAAGCTGAAGAACGCACAAATGGTGGTGTGATTATTATAAACTGATATCTAAAACTGAAGGCATTGTAGTCTCTTGTGTGTCTGTATTAGAACGCTAGAGAAAAATACATTTTATCTTGTTTTGGCTCATGTTGTGAGCCGTCCCGAGATGCTGGGGTATGTGGTGACAGCATATAAAAGTTTTAACTAAATAATAATAGATTTTTCTGAAATGTGTATTTCAGTGCTATATTTTCCCAACCATAAAATGAATTTGTTTGAACACGTGTCTGCTTTTTCTTCCTGACCAAGGGAAAGTATCAGCTAAGTTACAGAGTTATACTGGAATGCTAAAACAGTTTCCCTTACCATGCAATCTTATACACATCTAAGTAGCTGTGTTCATTGGGGCTTACTCATTGCAGCCTATACCTCTTACAAGTCTAATGTTAAATAGGAAAGCCATTAAAATAATTTGCTGAGTAAAATAATGGCACACTAGGGTCAAGTACTTTAAGAGGACCTCTGAGATCGGTGTGTTGTTCTAGCTGCCCAGGAAAAAGCATTTCAGTGACCAGTTGACACAAACCTGTAGTTATTTTTAAACAAGAGTCATAAGCCTCTGACGAAAGTGTAAAGATTTGCTAAACCCTTATAAATGAAACTTTATAAAAACATCCTATTTTATCAAGTCGAGACTTTGATAGATGCTTTAGCTTTTCATCACTGTTGCATGATTGTAGTGTAATTCCTTCATAATGAAGTACTATACATTTAAAAGGCGTGCCTTGAAAATCGTAAGTTTTTTGAGTTGTTGGGTTTTCATGAAGGTCAATAGTTAAAATGGCTCTTGCTTATTTAAGCAAGAAATATAACTGCAGGACTGCTTTTGAATCAAAGGGACTATTTGAAGGACAATTTAAATTACTGGAAGGCTTTGAATTTAGCAGCTTGTGAGCAATTTCTGTACAAGCACCAGTAAATGTCTCCTAATCTTGTTTTACAGATTAATACAGACACCTATTACAAGATACCTGTTGGGATTTTAACACATCCGGTCATAATCTCTGTTGTTGTTTTAACAACCCCATCAATCCTTAGTTGGGTCGTCAAGAGCCGCAAAGCTGCTGTCCACGTGGACTGGTGCTGACATTTCTCGTCCAGTTGCGAGAGCCTCTTCATCTAAACCTAGAGACATGGCAACAAATGGAACAAAAGTAGCTGATGGACAAATCTCCACAGAACTTAGTGATGCCTCAATCACCAATGACAAGCCTAAGACATTGGTAGTGAAGGTGCAGAAGAAAAAAGGAGATATCCCAGAGAGAGACACCTGGAAGGGCAAATTTGACTTTCTCATGTCCTGTGTGGGTTATGCAATTGGCTTAGGGAATGTGTGGCGGTTTCCATACCTTTGCGGAAAAAATGGAGGAGGTACATGTTTCAGCTTATATAATTAAATGTGGTGAATTTTTATTTTATTTTAACAAGGGGCTTCTTCGGTATTAAAACTCAAAGATTAGTAACAAAGAAGAGAAACATGAGAACAGGTTACCATTTCTAACACAGATGTTAGAAAATGTGTAAGATTTGTTCTTCGTTTTATTCTTGCAAGACTTCCTAAACAAACTTTACAGCTTGGAATGTTGCTGCCAGTACACCACTGGATGCCTTCGCCACAACAGGTAGTCCCTTCAAGGAAGGGCAACAGTTCATTTCTGCTACTCTCTGGCACTTGAAAACATTAGTACAGCACAGAAATAATGTATATGCATTTGAGTTTCCTTCTGGCTGCTCTGGAATCCTTTGGAAGGGTGCACAACCCATTCCACCAGCATCCAGCCCAAGTGGAGAAGAGCAATGAGGCTCACAAGGACTGCTCTAATTACTCTTTGCCTTTCCACGTTGTGCAGACCACCATGGCTGCTTTGTGTAAATGATATACCATTATCGTGGGCTTCAGTCACAGCAAATAGCTTTTGGAAGATGGTTGTGTCCTGCTTCCCCTGAGAACATCTGCATTTGCCTTTTACAGTAAAGCAGCCACTCCTACAGAAAGCAGGGCACAACCAGTTTCAAAATAAATCCTCTGGCCAGGTAAGAGTTAGATTAGGGTATTCAGTAGGGGTTTATCCTCACTGTGAAGCAAAGCAAAGCTGTTCTGCTCCTATTAGCTGCTGATGAAATGGCGTTTGATCCCATCTATTGCATTTAGGAGCAATCAGAGCAGAACTCAAGTTCTCTGCATCGTCAGCTTACAAGACACAACAACGAAGCATAGGATTAGAGATCGCTATCTTCTTGGGACAATGCTGCCAAAGGAGATCTATAGCAATTAGGTACGAATTGCTGAAGCTCAGGGGTCCAGCTCTGAACAGCGACTTACACAGAAACCAGTAGGACAGCATTGCTGGGCTGTTTAGCATGGCAGCCCATCTTACAGCATTTGTAAGCCACCCAGAGAACCTTCAGGTTATGAGGCGGCATAGAAGTAGAATGAATGAATGAATGAAACAATGAATGAATAAACTTCTAAAAGTAAAGATAGTTGAGCTGGAGTTGCCATTTTATGACTAGATAAAAGTAGCAAATAATACAGAATTTATATTAAAATGTTTTTCCTTCTGCTGAATTTAAATGGGGAATTGATGTTGGAACCCTTGCTTAATGATCTGCTTGAGGAAATCACAAAATTACATTCTTGTTTATTGAATTGTTCATGATCTCTATCCTTCCAGGGGCGTTTCTGATTCCGTATTTCCTTACGTTAATTTTTGCTGGAGTCCCCCTCTTTCTTCTGGAATGTTCGCTTGGCCAATACACATCCATAGGAGGCCTCGGTGTTTGGAAACTTGCCCCAATGTTCAAAGGTACAGTAATGGATTAAACACATTGCCATTCAAGACAGTAATTATACTTGTGACATTGTCTCTAAAGTATTAATACTTGCCATTGATTCCAAAATTTTTCAATTTTAGAATATGCACTAAATGTATAGATGTCCATCGTTAAGCAAATAATATTTAAATGATAAGCAGAGCTGGGACACTACCACTAACTGAATATCCATTATTCCAAAGTGTATGGACCAAAAGGGGAATAAATGAAATGAAACTTCCCACTGCCACATTATTTATGAAGTATTTTGAGAATAAGCATTTGCATACATGTGTGAGTAGATACAGTACATTGTATCATATCTCAAAGAGCACCAGTCAGTTTGAATACAATCTCTTGTAAAATCTGACAAAAAATGTTTCTGCACATCTGTGATTAACTACCCAGCCATTCCGTTGAGCAGGAATTTGAACTCAAGTGATTCTACTCTGCATTATTTTCTTTCCACTTGAATTCATTTTGCACCACCCGTATCATTCCTTTCTGCAAGCATAATTTCCTAGCTTTAGGGTGGCTGTGTTTGCAGACTGCTTAGAAGTTCCTCTAAGGCCATTTTCTAAAGATCCACTCTCTTTCCTTTGCTCCGCAACCTGAATTTGCTGGCATTCAGTGAACCTAGCTGCCCTCGGCCTTATTTCTTACTATTATTTCATTTCTGTACAGCCCAATAGCCAAAGCTCTTCTCGCCCTTCTTCCCTTCACCTCTTTATATCATTGTTTCCTGCTCATGACAGACAAGTCATCTCTTTCAACACAAACAGAAACCTAAACAGAAGGTTCAATTTTGTATACCACTGTTCAACCCTCATTCAGAAGGTCTGTAGACTTTTTCCAAACCGACTTCCAAACTTTTGTAGAATCTGCTTCGACAGTTAGCCATGCATTAGGCAGAATGAGGTGGCTGTCTCAGGCAGCAGCTATTCGATGCCCTGAGCTGGCAGTAAATTCTTAGTTGTTTATTTTGTTTGTATTATATTTTTACTGAATGGAGAATGGGGATTGAGAAAGACGTGGCAGAAGGACAGTTACTTCAAGTGCCAAAATAATTCAGCTGGCCTGAAGCATTATCAGTATAAATGTGCAAAAATACAACAGATTTTATCTTAGTGGAAGCTTAGCTCTTCAGCTGTTATCATTTGACTTGTATTTTGAAACCCTTCTGTTAAGAATATGATTAATCTGCAACACTAGCATTTTTTTTCTCTTGCAGGTGTGGGATTAGCTGCTGCTGTCCTGTCCTTCTGGCTTAATATTTACTATATTGTGATTATTTCCTGGGCTATATATTACTTATATAATTCCTTCACTACAGTAAGTCATCGTTCTTCTCCTGTTTTAAAAACTTATTACAGTTCAGTTTGATTAATGGAACTAATATTTAAAAGGTCATGATATATGTTAAGTTATAAGGCCCGGTCCACTGTAATGTTTTTGCCTGATTTGATGAGCTCTTAGTAACAAAGAGCCCATTCCATCATTCCCAGTAGATTTAGACTAAATCCAATTGGATGTTAATTCTCACCTCATATAAATTAGTCTAGCTTGCCCAGCACCACCACCATCAATGGCCTGTGGCCATTGGAAACCTCTTATAGAAATATGATTTTTGGACACAGTAAAACCTTTTTGTGGTAAACTTTTTATGGGAAAAGAAGGCAGGATAATTATAGAAATACATAGCTTTGTCTTGTACTTTAAGCCTGGAGCTAGTGCAAGTAATTGAAATTGGAAAGGACTGCCAAAGCCCTCTCAGCGAAAAGCCAGCTCAGGCCTCTCGCCCTTGCTGGCACAAGCCAGCTAGACTTTGCAGTGGCAGATTGTCCACCAGTTCATGCAACATCATACATACTTAGGGATGATCTGCAACTGGAACCCTTTTCTGTGCTTATTTATCAGAAGAAAGTTCTGTTTGAATTCTCTGAGGTTTCACCGTGCATTGGTTTCTGTCCTTCACCAATCAGGATTTATTTAATTTATTTTAGAGTTTTTTTCCATCTTGCTCCCCATAAAGCTCACTGAAAGATATTTATATGGTCAGAAATAAAAAGCACCAGTCAAAAAGGACACGATCAGCACAGAGGCAATGAATACCATAGACAGCAGCTGCCTGAACATTATCCCATGCTAACAGTAATTCAGGCAGTGGTCTTCACAGGGAGGGAGGGACGGAGGGACGGAGGCAGGCTATAGGCTGACATATTCCAAACCTACTGAATAACAGTATATGGTTTCAGAAAGGAAAAAAATAACCCAAATGGGAAAGAATATTTAAACATTGGACCTTTCTGAACATGTGTGCTATAATGATAAAGATGTACCTCTAAGTTGGATCTCAGGCTGAATTGCTTACAAACGGGACAATATATCATGACATCTGAGTGTGGATTAACAAGGCAACAGGCTAGTACTATTATTCTTAAGGGTGCAATCCTGTGCATGTTTAGACAGAAAAAAACCCTACAATTACAAGCATGCCCCGGCCAGTAAAGCTGGCTGAAGGTGCGCTGAGAGTTGTAGAAAAAAAATTGGTATAAACATGCATAGGATTGCACCCTAAACTGTTAAAGCTGAAATTGCTAGGCATCCCAACATGTTTCTGTGATGAAGACCTCATATGCAAAGCTGCTGCTGCATCATTCTTAATGAATTAAACATATTTTACCTATATGTATGTGTTTTGGAGGGTCCTCTTTTGGTCCTGTGTGGCATGATCTATTATCATAATTAGCAAACTGAAGCAATGCCCCTTTTACTTCTTGATATAGGTCAGCCTTCCTGATCCCCGTGTTCTCCACATCTTTTGAACTACACTCCCCACTATCCCTGGCCATTGGCCATACTGGTTGAAGCTGATGAGAACTGAAATCCATTATACCTGGTCTCCAGGTTGGGAAAGGCTGATCTAGGCTCTGTTTAGAAGTTACCCTTTCCCTTCTGAAGAACTATGCATAGCAATAACCAAGTGGATCTTGGGCTCCCATGTTTCATCTTCTGTGCCCAATGAGAGGAGCAAAAGCTGTGTGAAGTACTACACAGGCAGCCCAAAGCACACTGTAGATCTCAGCCCATTATTTTTGCATTACATTTATTTTTTGCTCTTGCGAGGAACTTCTGGCAGCTTTAATCCTCTTCCCCATTTCATCCCCATGACAACAAATCTGTGAGGCAGATTAGGCTGAGAGTGAGTGAGTGGCCTAAAGTCACCCAGTGAGCTTCATGTGGGCCTTCTACCTCTCATCAAGACCACAGAAGCTCCTTTGTCTTCCTGAATCCCTGCTTTTCAGAGGAAGGCAAGGGAAGCCACCCGAATTGGGAGCTGCCACCTCGAGGTGCCTGGAGCTCCCTGAAGTCATTCCTGAAGGAGCAGCTACCTCTTCATCTCTTCTCAGCAAAGCAGTGACCAAAAGAGAACTGCTCTGGTATTATCATTACTTTTTATCCATCCATCCATTTTATTTCTCCATTGTCCAATAGCCAAAGCTTCTCTCTGTGCACCGAGGGACTCCTCTTTCTCGATGCTCAGAGAGGAATGCAAACACATTAACAATCCAGGAAAAGTTTGCCAGATTGTCAGTTTGCTACTTGATTCATATCCCATTTCTCAGTTTACAGAAAAGAAGCGGTTCTCCTGCAATATCCAGTATGTGTGTGAGAAAGGTGTATGTGTGTGTACTGGATGTGTGAATGGTAAACATTGTAGAAACGGTGAAGGGTGCAGTGGTGCACCCACTTTAGGGTCTGCCATGTGGCCCTTTGACAGTATGCATAAGAAAAAAATGGCCCAGTAGGACTTTAAATTGCACCTCCACTCCACTTTAGATATAACACAGGCCTACTACTTCACTGAATTTTGAGTGTCAGCCTTACACCCCAAAAAGTAGATTATGTAAAAGCAACGATTTGTTGCCTTCAGAGAAACTCTCTGTTTGAGTCAATGTTTCTCCAGTTACAGTCCAGCAAATACTCTCTCACAAAAACACTATTCATACAGATAACACACATACACACACACTTGCCCCTGTCATATGCATACACTGGCAAAGAGAGAACTGCTCATTCTGGAACTGCTCCTTCAAGTCACTGCATGAGTCACTCTTCTGGATGCTCCTCTTCTGAAGACCAGCAATTCTGATATTTCTGGATCTAAAGTCATCCTCCATTCCCCTGAAGACAGCAAGTTCTTTGTGTCTTTGGAAATTGCACAGAGCAAGGAAACTTAGCAGCATTTAAGAGATAAATGGGCAACTGAATCACACTACTTGGAGAAACAAGGGTAATTCATGACACCTGAGGAAGATGAATGGATTGAAAAACTGAAACCAAATTACTGTCTACATTGACCATCATGTCTAGACAAGCCGATATATGTTATGTTACATTGGCTTATAAAACATTGATGTTTTTATTCTTCTCTCTCCACTACCCATTTCTACCTCTTAAATTAGAATCTTCCATGGAGACACTGTGATAACCCCTGGAACACGGACCACTGCTTTTCAAATTACAGTATATCAAATACCACCAACATGACAAGTGCTGTTTTGGAATTCTGGGAGTAAGCCAAGAATAATATTTTTCTCATTCCTACAAATGTGTATAATGAATTTCTCACTACATGTACAAAAAGAGCAAAATTAGAGATGTTCATGCATTTCCTCTTTGATTTCAGACGTAATATGCACCAAATGACAGATGGGCTAGAAAAACCGGGCCAGATCCGTTGGCCATTAGCAATTACTCTAGCAATTGCCTGGATTTTGGTGTATTTTTGCATCTGGAAGGGGGTAGGCTGGACAGGAAAGGTAAGAGTATCTTTACGAATCCAAATGTTGCATTATGAATCACAGCTTTCTAGCAATTTAGCAAAATACTGATTAAATCCTTTCAAGTGCTTTACTATATACCACACATGCTAGAGGCTTTGTTTTTACCCTTTGCATATGTGTATCTCTGTAAATTATATTTAAAATATTATGTAGGTTTGAGGTATTGTCTCTATTGCTATGCAAATTGAAATTGTAATAACTTGAACTGGGCAATTTGATAGTACTGCTATGAATGTAGGCATTTAATAGGAGTAAAAATAATAAAAGCAAAAATGACAGGCAGCCAAAAAGAGACAAATTGGAGCCTGGAGCTGTTTAGTGACCTGGGAATACTGAGACCACATACCTAGCATTCAGGCAGGAAGAGCAGAATACTGTTACATCTCTCTCAGCTTCCATGACAAAAACTGGATTTAGAACTCACTGTGTTCCTGAAGTCCAATGTTAAATTCACTTAGAGAGAAGTCTATCTGGCCACTGCTTCAAAATGTCAATTTTATTCTTTGCATTAGGTGGTATACTTCTCTGCTACATACCCATATATCATGTTGCTTATCTTGTTCTTCCGTGGAGTAACATTACCTGGAGCAAAAGAAGGCATTTTATTCTATGTAACACCAAAGTTTGAGAAGCTCTCTGATTCTGAGGTAACCATTCAGCTTTTGTAACCTCGACAATTCATAATATTTGTTAGTATTATCCCAACTATATTTTCACCTTTGACATTATAAGCTACCAATCCTAAGCTTACAGGCATGCATTTGTCCGTTATAATTAGGTTTGGCTGGATGCTGCCACACAGATCTTTTTCTCCTATGGTTTGGGTCTTGGCTCATTGATTGCTCTTGGAAGTTATAATCCTTTCAACAATAATGTATACAGGTAAAACAATTACAATTCTGTACTAGCCTACAGTTCTAGAAATATAGCTATAGAGAAATCAATTCAGTTCCCAGGGTATGGAATTCTTTAGAAGTTCAGATGGATGAGGCCTTCCAATTAAACACAGGAAACAAGAAGTTCCTCTTATAGTAAAATCAGGGTGACAGAGGTATTGCTCAAGAAGAGATTCTGCACATAACACTGGACCTCCTAGATGAGATACAGGGTAGGAATCATTCAGTCAACAAATGCCAAATCTGCTTGGTCTGGTCCCTATCACTTTAGAAACAGAACAGGTCAACCTAAAAACAAAATAGTCATTTCTACATATTCAGAGGATTCCAATTTTTTTCATAAATTAAAAAAAAATTAAAAAATGTCTGATAAGGCCTGTGTTCAGTGGTTTCCAGGACCTATGGAAGGTCAAAGATGTCTGTTCATGAGAGAATGAATATGAACAGGGAGGTCTACTTGATATCTTGAAGTGATCTTCTTGATAGCCTAAATTGGTCTGAGGAGGGCATTGGGCTTAGCCAGGTGTATGTTGTGAGACTCAACAACTTCTGTCCCTGTACCATAGGGGAAAATTTCAAGAGGAAGGAAAGGCAGAAAGGAACTTCCCTTTCCCACTTCCCACCATCTTCCCTTCTTCTCCTCTCCCTCCCTGTGGGCTATATAGCAACAGGACAACATAGCCTTATTCCCGTTGGGTCTAGCGGCCCTTAGCGCTGTATAGCACACCAGAGGTAGGTTTCAGTATGGTGGGAAAGTTTACAGCCCTCCCCCCACCTCAGCACAACCTCCCCTTTCTATTTGTGAGTGCTTCTCTTCGGGACTATAGATTTTTAGCAATATTCTGCTGCAGGTCAAACTGACCCTTTGTGTGAGTTCTTGAAAGTCCAGCTCCTAGTGTAGTGAGAATAACTTTTAATGTTCCGATATCATGTATACTTGTGTGTGAAATTCTTTCTGTTGCCCTCATCAGCGTGATATATGATATGAACTGCATATAGCATCTATAGACAGAAACATAATAATAGACACATAAAGATGGATTTTTATTTATTTATTTATTTGGAGAACAAATAACTTGGAGATTAAGTACACTGGTTCATTTCCTCTTACCCACACACTGTCCTTAATGCCACTGAAGCATCCCATTTTCCACAGTTTTATTATCCTCCTCTCTTTCTCTTCCCCCACAGGGATTCCATCATAGTGTGCTGCATAAACTCTTGCACAAGCATGTTTGCAGGTTTTGTTATCTTCTCCATTGTTGGATTTATGGCTCACGTCACCAAACGACCTATTGAAGATGTTGCCAAATCAGGTTTGCTGCCTCTTCACAATTGCATCATAATATAATTTCATTAGCTAGTACTGAGAGCAATTAACCCCGTCCTAACATTGCTGGGCTGAGCTAATATTTCACTGTTCAGCTGTCCTCTGTCCAGCCAATGGAAAATGAGATGACCCAATTCTCTGATCTGGGGAGGTCAAGGAGGGAGCAGTTCTCCTAGCTGATTGCTTGCCTTTACTGCAGCAGCAGTGATTGGCCTGAATGTCTTTAAAAGCCCTCAGCACTGATGTCGGTGATTATTCTGTTTCGATCCTGAACATTTCTTACATCAGCCTCAGTTTGTCCATTGTCAACCTCCCTTCCTGAACTGTTTTACTAGTGCAAGCAGGAGAGCTCCTGTCTGAAAGCTGATGTTCTGAGACATCATGAGAAACTCCAAAATGTTTGCTCCCCAAAGTGGCTGTCTAGGAAAAATGGGTTTGCCTGCACCTGTGAAGCATCTGTACCTATATGCATTCCTAGCAAACGACACACCTCACACAGCATTGCTAAGTAAGGGAAGGCACGGTGTCTGCCATACTTCACAGGCCTGGGAACGAAATCAGTGCAGGCATGCATAGGTGAGCAGCTGATCAGTACTGTTAACGTCTGGAGGAATTATAACAGTAAGACAGGCAGGCAGGGGCACAGAGGTGCGGGGGCGGCTTCAGGCAAATGCAGTGGAAGGGAAAGGGTAAAGCAGCAGGGACCTGAAGTAAAGCTATGGCTGAGGATCTCAAGCCATGGAAATAGGCCTGTGCTTGCCTGCCATCTCCTCCCTGGCTCTCTGTTACCACTGCCTCTTTCAGCGCTAGCCCCAAACTCCCACCCACCTCCAATCATGAGGCCATTTGTGTCCCTGTAAAAGTGTGTTTGTCTCAGGGGGAACTCGGGGCCACTGTAAAGCAGCAACAAAAAATGTTTCTTTGGGCTGTACTTTCCATTCTGACACACTGCAGCAGCAGGTCTTCTCAGGCGGACAAAGGTCCTCTGGGGCTGCTTGCAGTGGTGGCGGTGGGCCTGAGCCCAGCAGCATTCTGCCTCAGTGGGAGGGAAATGTATGCCACTTGATCGCAGTGGCTGGGAAACCATCCCCATACACGCAACACCCCCCCCCCCACAGAACAGGAAGGAAGGCAGGGAAAGGACACGTCTCCTCCTCTTCCGTCCTGCTGGTGTAAGCCGATTGGGCTTCGTGTGGGGCAGTTTGCCCACCTTCAGGTCTCTCCACTACACCTGGTAGGATTATTCTGTCAGTTTCCTGACCCAGAGCAACTTGTCAAAGTGGAACAATAGAAAGCCAATCTAGCAAGATAACATACTGCTTTAAAATATCAGTATTTGACAGAATGGGCCATCTAGTGAGATTGCTGTTCTTCGCAACCTCTGTAATGAGCCTTATTTGGGTTAATTACTACTGCTTGAGGGGCAATGCAGAGAGTTCTTGTAATGGGGGCATAGCATGATTATCCATCAGCATCCTATTTTATGGCACTGACATATTGCCATTTGGAGTATTTTGTCAGCACTTTACCAGTGATACCATGCATTTTTTTTTTACCTTAAATGTTTATTTGTGTGACAAGTTTCATCCTGAATGTATATTGCAATTTTTGCTGTCAAGTATAAAGGGCAACCCAGAGCCCTGATTGCTTTAGCAAAGTAATCAAACAATGTCCTGAGTGCCAGGATTTTAACTGCATAGTAGTGTCACTGTAAATAGAATATAGATCAATGTAGTTAAACAATGGGTGAGATAAGCACCTACACAGAATCTAGGTGGAATATTTTTACTAAGATTTAGTAAATGCTGCAATTATTTTAGCTATTTATTGCCAGGATGAAGAATTAAGTTGAATCCAGTTTTAGGACCACTGAAATCAATTAGACTTAACATTAGTCATGACTATCTGAAGTCACATTTATTTCAACATTCACACTCTAAGTATGACTAAATCTGGATCCAAAGCATGATAAAAAAATAATATTGATGGCATGGGGTCTCTAACATTTTTGGATCTGTGGACACATTTGGCAATATGAGAAACTGCCTTAGGCACACATCACCACAAAATGCCTGTCTTGGAAAGCATGGCTAATCACAAAGGACAAGTAACCTGCCCAAAAGATTAAACAGAAGGCATGACAACCTACAAAATAGCTCCTTGCAGGCCCCACTTTTCTATGCAATCAGCAACCTGTTTCATAGAAGGAAAACCCTTTCTCTGGCCCACCCTTGCCAGCCATATTGTTCTTCTTCCCATCTTGTTTTCTGTCACAGACCAGATAACCACTCAGATTACCATCCATACACACATACTCTGGCATGGGTCACATGTCAGAAGAAGCCATTCTGTGTGGTTTCTGCAGTTTTTTGCCTCAGTGTGCCTGACAGATGATCAGGTTCATGATGGTAAGTCTCCTTCCTCCCAACATCTCCTCCTGTCTCAGACCTCCAGCCAATATCTTAGGAGACAGCGAGAAATGAGGCACTTTTCTTTGGTAGCTGCAGTCATAATCCAACTTTGGCTTCGCAGGCCAGGTTGGCTTACTGTGGCTTCTACCACAATTCTGTTTACTGCCTCAGTGGTCCCGCTTAGCAAATGGAAGGCCCATTGCTCTGTTTCCCATTCCTTTTCCTGGGGACTGAGCACACCGCAGTAGGAAGCGTCAGCCTGCTTATTGCTTAAGAATGTATCTGAGCTCTCTATGTGGGCAAGAAGCATTTATGGGAAGAGAAGACAGCAGCAACTGAAGACTTTGTTCACTTTGATGCAATCCCAGTTGCCAATAATAGTAAACAGTTTGTTGTTGTTGTTGTTTGACAGGCACACAGAAGCTGATTTAAAGAAAGGGTGGCAGTTTCCAGCAAGAACAATTTCAGTGCTGCAAATTTCACGTACACAGATTCACTATCCTATGTAGGTTAAGAAGGAGAAAGCCCCGTCACTGCCAGCAGGCTCCAGCCAGTTTCCTCATAAAAATACTCCACAGGAAAGCCCAGAAAAAAGCCTTGGAAAGCTGCTGCTACTCAGAGCAGACAGTACTGGGCCAAGTTGGATCAGTGGTCTTGACTTGTTATAAAGCAGCTTCATGTGTTCATAGAGATACATTTATAGTGTTTTCATGTCACTGCCGCTGCTGGCATATGTGGAAAAGAGGTACAGTGGCCGCCCTTCCTGGTGGTCAGCCTTCTGCCGCACTTGCTGCTGCCGCCATGCACAGAAAAGGGGTGCCGTGAGCAGGCATGCCAGCGGCCATTGCCAGCATCCATCTTCCCTGCTTGCTGTTGCCGGTGGCGGCAGCAGGCGTGGAAAAAGAACACTGCTTGTGCAGCATGTGGTGAGTGCCCTGGGAACTCTGCAAAGCAGCCCAGAGTCCACAAGACTGAAACCAGGGAATCCAGTGGATTTTATGCACAAAGCAAATTCTTCGCATGTCTGTGCGAGGAATTGTCAGGCTGCACTGAAATAATTATTTTGAACATCATTGTCTCGGTATGTTCTGTACTTCATTCCACATCTTTTTATTCTCCAGACAGAACTGTCGAACTGTGCATTTGTAACATGTGATAACCATATTATTTATTGGATTTTAATTTACATATGCGTAGCTGCTGTCAGTCCTGATCGGCAGCTCCTTCATCTTTATTGTTGTTATATTTTGAAGAAAGGTATACAAATTATAGTTCAAGTAGATTTGTCATACATCATGGGACACGAGATCTTACATTGATTGATAATGAAACAATGCATGCCATTTTCCCCATTTCTAGGTCCTGGACTTGCATTTTTAGCCTACCCAGAAGCAGTGACACAACTTCCTGTATCTCCATTGTGGGCAATACTGTTCTTTTCCATGTTGCTTATGCTCGGGATTGACAGTCAGGTAATGTAGATGCCATTTTTCAAAAATTAGTTTTAGGGAAGATAAATGTTCAATGGTTGTAGATATGTACCAGTTATAAAGTTTTCTCATTGTAAAATATCAGGTAAATTTAAAAAATTGTCCGCAGAAGCAGACAAATTGGTCTCGTTCAGATGTAACCTTTCCAACCAACATGATTTGCTGGAAATGCGACTGTTTCCCTTCCCACATTTTCTTGTGCATCCTGCTTCAGTGGATAGTGTATGTATGGTCTCTTAAACCACCCTTTGCCTGTGATGGTAAACCAAAAAACTTTGGTTTTGAACACTCCTTACAAACCAGGATTGCAAACTGTGGTTTGATTCTGGTTTATATTGAACATTTAAACAACACATCCCGTTAGGATCATCACAAACAAACCTGCGGTTTACCTAAACAGAAGGTCTCCTTTGAAGCCCACACATGGAAAGAGGACAGAAAGGGAAGGGAGAAAAGCAAGCACTTGAGTTTGTAGCTCATGCCAGCAAATCAAGACCAAAAACGTTATGGTATATTAAGGCTACTAAACTGTAGCTTAGGGTTAAGCAAATGAGTCTTGAGCTTGTGCAGTTCCCTGTCCTCATTCAGCAGGATTTGCTTCCATTTTCAGCCAACAGTGGTATAGTTTAATGTACAAACCCTAAACTGTGGTCAATCTTAAATATAGTTTATTGAATTTACTCAGCTTCATAAACCAAAGTCTGAAGGTGACCTCTTAATGCAAACCCCATGCTAGGCATAATTAGGAAAGAAGCAGAAAATAGAACTGCCAAGATTGTACTTCCTTTATGCAAATCTTTGGTATGACCACACTTAGAATGTTCAGTTTTTATTTAGTTCTGGCCAACTTACCTGAAAAAGGACATGATTGAGTTGGAAAAAAGTACAGAGAGTGGCAATAAAAATGATCAAGAAGTGGAGGAACTCCTTTGTGAAGAGTGACTACAAGGGGAGACATGATACAGGCATTTAAAATAATGCAGTTCCATAACACTCAAACCTGGGGTCATCCCATGAAGCTGATTGGTGGGAAGTTTAGGACAGAAAAAAGGGAGAACTTCTTCATATAATGTATACTTAAACTATGGAATTTGCTGCCATGGGAAGTGGTGATGGCCACCAATTTGGGTGGCTTTAAAAGGACTGGATAGATTCATGAGTGAGGAGACTATCAGTGGCTACTAGTCTTGCTGCCTGAATGCTACCTCCTTTACCAGAGATGGCAGGCCTGCATACACCAGTTGCTAAGGAAGCGTTCAGTAAATGAATACACAGTTCTGGACAAATATGATAATAGGTGCCTCCAGTAACCAAGTTCAGAAAATTCTATTGCAAAGGACAAAACTCAAGAGGCATTAAAAAACACCAAATCCATGGAAACAAATTACAAAGAGAGTCAGTATAGTACTAAACAGAAGATGATATGGTTTCAACTGCCAATAAAATTTAAAATGACCATCTTTATCCTTTGTAACAGGAGAATAGACAGTCAGTACAAAGAATAAAATGGTATTTGAACCTAGGCTATATAGGATCCCCTATTTTTATCTAAAGAAATGCCATGTAACTAGAAAAGCACCAAGTCTACCAAATGCACAAGGATGCCAGACAGAAGCAACAACTGCATCTTTTATCATATTGCAGTATGTATCTCCTAATATTCTCCCTTGTGTAAGAGCAGAGGCAATAGGCTATGTTCTGAAGAGTCTAGCCCACTAGCTTTCCAGGAGGTTAAATTTACTGAAGACCCCACAATGGGAGAAGCTGTCAAAAATAGATACTCCTGGGAACAGCAATGCTAGCATGATTATGAAGCAGCCTAAATAGCACCTCTTATTTCTGATTTTCCTGCAGTTGAGGTTTTGCACAAGCTAATGGAACGTGTTCGTAGAAGGAGGGCAGATTTAATGTTCAACTATACTCAGATCTGTTCATTGTAGAAATTAATTGTAGCACATAAGAAGTAGGATGTAAGGCCTTGAAATTCCTCTGTTTACTAGGAAAAGAAATGAGGGGACTTCTCTCTCAGGTCCATACACGTGAAAGGATTGTAATTTTAGCAGTGCTTGGATTTGGTATTCATAAATTTAATATTTTAAAATGTGTCTGCATTTATTGTAATATGGAATCCGGCAACAAACATCCCTCCCTGGTCTTTATTTCTCTAAGTATCCTTGGTTCATGGAACCAACACAGTAGCCAAAACCTGACCCAAGAAGGCTCAGAACTAGGATGCACATAAGTGTGCTCTACAGACACTTTTTCCCATGAGTTTATTTTCCTCCATGCTGTGCTTATGATTGGTATGGGGTTCTTTTGTGCAAACAATCACTTTAAAGAATGTACAGACCACCATCACTCATAACAGTTTACATACTGCTTCAAATGGGCAGCTGATCATTATGAGATACCATTATAGAAGCACAAATACCTTCATTATGATGGTTGATCATCCTGAACATTGTGAAAGCTGGTCCCATGTTCCCCATTGACTGTTTTTTTTTTTTTTTCAGAGGCCATATTCTCTGTTTGGTTATATTCCCTGAGTGCCTTGGATTCTCTCCCCCTCCCCCACAGAGCCCTGCATGACCAGGAAAGGGACACGTGTGTCCTCCCCTCATCCTCTGCTGATCAGTTCCCTCACTTCTTCCCTGTCCATAGGTCAGATACTGGGCTTGTTCCATGGATGCTCTCTCAAGCCCAGCTGTTCTTGACATCAGCACAGGCAGCTTCCTTCCTGCTAGAAATCAGGCTGTGGCCTTCAGCTGTACCTCATTCATGGGGGAAGCCTTGTGGGGTGGGGAGAGTGTGCCAGCATGAGGGTCCTGTATTACTTCTGGCTGGGCCCACTCACATGTATCCCATGGACCAGCTCCTATTTCTACATCCTTTAATACATGCAAGTTTAAAATGTTCATGCTGCCTTTATGCAAACCTGACTTCAGAAATCTCCATTTGTATCAAGTAAGGCAGGATGGTTGCATGTTGAGTGCAGGAGTCTCCGCTTCCTTTAATGAACAGTTTGTCTGTGAAATTCACTGGATGGCCTTGGGCAAGTCATAGTCTTTACCTACATCACTGGGAAAGTGAGAGGTTAAAATATGGATTTCCTGCAAATCCACTTTATTAACCAAAAATAAGAGTGATAGAAAGAAACTCAGATACAATAATCAGTGTCAACAAACCTCAGTGTTCACCTTACTTCAGCTTATTGCTGAGAAAATGTACTCAGTACTTATCAAACAATTTCAGTTGTCTTTTTGTTCATTCTTTCATGAAGCCCAAGTTTTTGAAGGGTTATGGAAGAAAAAAGAATAACAGTGTTAATGCATTCTGAAGAAACTGCTTGAAATAAACTGCGTGTGACAAACTGAGTGTGTCTTTAGGCTGCTGAAACAGAACAGAAAAAGTATGTCTTCACAGTAAAGGCTTTCAGGATTCTTTTGTTGTTGGTTTCACTGTCTCCATCTGCTTCATACTAAAATTTCGAATGTTCCTGGTCTACTGTCACCACAGAAATGGCACCCAGAATGGTTTCATTCACTGGGAGAGACCATCCTCCATAACATGTTGCAGTGCCCTGTTGCCAGTTTTAACACTCTTTCTAGGGGGAAATCAGAGTTCTTTCAGTAGTAGAACAAACAATTGTTTTCCCTAAAGGTCCTCCTTACCCTGACCCTAAGAAGCAGCTTGAGGATCCACTTACGCATGTGGATGAAAGGGCACAAGGCTCTGTAAGGGAAGTTGAATATATTTATTCAGGGAGCAATCCTATGCATATTTATATACAAAAAGTCCTACAGCTCCCAGCATTCCCCAACCTTAAACTGAGCTCTAGGCATATCTAGATGTATCCCTCTAAGACAGGTTCTTGTAGTAAAGCAAACAATTAAAAGCCAATGAAACAAAAATCAGAACCCTAAAATCAAAAGTATAGTTAAACACCCCAGTTAAAAATCACTAATAGTTGAGCGGAATGAAAACATATTCATTGTGTGTCAAAATACCTCAGCAAGAATAGTTCCCTTTAGTTAGTCCAGAAAGGTGACCCACAATATACCAAATAAATATCATACCCTTCTGATTTTATTCATAGATTTTAATGAATCATAGAAGTTGTCCTATAGATAATCCAACTGTGACTTAATGCAAGACCAAAAGCAGTTAGGATAAAGCTGAATGTTAAAATAACGCTGTACTGAATGATGTTTTGATTTGAATATAACCTCTAATTCACTTTCAGTTCTGTACCGTTGAAGGATTCATAACAGCCCTAGTGGATGAATTTCCAAAGTTGTTACGCAGTCGAAGAGAAATTTTCATTGCCGCTGTGTGCATTGTTTCCTATCTGATAGGACTGTCCAATATTACTCAGGTAAGCCATATATTGGAGGTGTCTTACCCTTCACTTAATAAAATTGCATTTTGTGCTAAACAGAATTAAAACATTATATTTCTTTAGTGTGCCTACTGGGAGACAGAAGAGATTTCAGCTTTTCTTGAACTTCTGAATGTCAATAACCATTAAAGAATTTGAGATTAACACAGGGTATGAGTATTAAGCCTATGCCAAGTTTAGACTTTCAGCTTGTTTGATTCAGCTAGTTTACAGACAATGTGAATTCCATTTTCCTTGTTAATTCTTACATATCCTTAGATAGAAGAACTACATAAGGCCAATAGTTTTCATAAAGATGTTGAACTTAGTGGTACTGATTACATAAGTTCACCATGCTTTATTACCTAAGCTAAAGACCATGGCAAGATTTATTACTTAATTTAGCAACTTGCAAAATATATTCCTTTAGATACTGTAAGATATAAATGACAACCAAAACCATAAATATGTATTGTATTAAATATAAAATATGTAGTATGGGACATATTTTTAAACAGGAACAAAACATCTGTATAGATGTTGCCCTGTCAGCCTGCCCTCAGGTCTCTGGATGCTGCTTTTCAATGCCAGATCGGTGAATGATGAGACCATGCTCATTCACGAGTTAATAGTGGATTCTGGTGTGTACAACCGAGACCTGGGTCAGGAAACAGGGAGGAGTTAGCCCTTCCCAACTCTGCCCACCTGGGTGCTTGGTACATCATCAGGGAAGGCACAGAGCTGAGGGCAGGGAGCTGCTGTGGTCTAAAGGAATCCCAGGCCCCAGCAGCAACTGGAGTTTGGAGTGCAGATGACATGCAGATCTATTTCTCCTTTTAATCTTCAATATCTGAGGGTGTTGATGTGCTAAACCCATGCATGACTGCAACAGTGGACTGGACAATGGCCAACAAACTACAGTTCAATCCAGACAGGACTGAGGTGCTGTTAGTGGACCGTTCTTCTGACCAGATGGAGGGTGCACTCCCTTTAGAGGAGTAGGTTCATAGCTTAGGGGAGCCATCTTTGTCACTTGTGGACCGAGGGGCCTCAGTGGCACAGAGTGCCTTCTACCAGCTTCAGCTGGTGGCCCAGCTATTCCCCCGATCTGGACAAGGATGGCCTGGTTTCAATATTCTATGCTCTGATAATCTCTAAGATAAGAAAACTGTGGCATTCAAAACATGGTGCTGGAGGAGAGCTTTTCAAATACCCTGGAGTGACAGAAAGATGAACAAGTGGTTCCTCGTTCAAATCAAACCAGAACATTCCCTAGAAGCAACAATGACAAAATTGAGACTATCATACTTCAGACACATAATGAGAAGGCAAGACTCCCTAGAGAATATAGTCGTGCTCAGGAAAGTTGAAGGCAGAAGAAAAGGAAGACCAAATTAGAGATGGATTGACTCCATAAAGGAATCCATAGCCTTGGATTTAGAACAGCTAAGCAGAGATGTCATGGATAGGACATATTGGAAGGCTTTCATTCAAAGGGTCTTCAAAAGTTGGAGATCACTTGATGACACATAACAACAACAAATTACTGCAATGTACTCTGCCTGGGGCAACCCTTGAAGACTGTTCAGGAGCTGCAGCGTGTGCAAAATGCAGCAGCTGGATTAGTAACAGAGACCAGAAGCCCAAACACATAGCACCTGTTCCAGCCTGCTTGCTTCAAATGCCTATATGTTTCTGAGCCCAATTCAAGGTTCTGCTTTGAATCAGTAAAGCCTTACATGGCTTGGGACCACAACACTACCTGGCAGACCACCTCTCCCAACCACAAACTATCCATGAAAGATCATGGACCTGCCTCTGATTGAAGCTCAGTTGGGACCAACAAGGAAATGTGGCAGCTCTCGGTTATGGAACAAGGTCCCCACTGAGACCTGCCTGGTGCCAATTCTGATATCTTTTCAGAACCAGGCTAAGACTGCCCTGTATGACAGGGCACTTCAGTAGCTTTACGTAATATCAGGGCATTCTGTCAACTGCTTAAGAGGTCTTGTGAGTAAGCTATTGTAGTTTTTTAAATTTAGTTTATTTTTTATATTGTATTTGTATTCCATTCTTATTCCAAAGTGCAACGAATTGAACATGCCTTCTGAATTGCAGGGTGGACTATATGTGTTCAAGCTTTTTGACTACTACTCCGCAAGTGGAATGAGTCTCTTATTTCTTGTGTTCTTCGAGTGTATCTCCATATCCTGGTGCTATGGTATGTGATGTTATAGTATTTGACATTTATGAAAACAAGTAATAAGACTAGAACTTATGTAAAGGAATCACAGACAAAAAAGAATAATTGAGCATAATCCAAGGTGAGACCAGTAGATTATGTTGCCCTCGCTCAAGTGATCACTAATCAGGGACTGCCCTCCTATGAGGTGTGGTGAACCTCCTGCCTCAGGTGATACAGCCCACCTTTCCCACTATTTGCTGCTGCCACTGCTCTACCTCTCACCCACTACATTGCGGCCATCCTTCTCTGTGGAGCCTATCAGAGTGGACCAGCAGGTGGCCAAGCTCTCTGAAGAGCCATATCAGCTGGAAAAGTGACCAGTGTGGCTTTACACAGAGGTGGTCACACCCAAATACGGAGGAGTCCTGCCTCGGAGTCAAGCACTGTGGAAAGACAGATGCCCCTGGAGACCACCTTAAGTTACAGGCAATTTCCAGGAATACTCCCTCCCATAATGCCTGACCCCTCAAGCCAGGCCTTTGAGCATGGCTGCCATGCTGAGGAACCATGCCAACCACTTTTCCAGCTGACATGGAAAAGTCATAGAGACTTTGGCTACTCTGCAGAGCAGGCAGTGACTGCAGTGCGATGGGTCAGCAGGGGTAGAGGGGGCGAAGCTGGTGGATGGCCAACAGGAGGGAAGAGTCAGATCAGGCTGGGTGGTAGAGGTGCCTTCATGGGACCTTTTCAGACCAATTCCAAAAGACCTGTAATAAATCTCCTAAATTTTAATGCCTCTTCTGTTGACGCCTGATTTCCCCACTTCTTTGTTAAAGTAACATACTATTGATTGACACACCTTTCTTCCTCTTTATGGGTTGTTTTAGACAGCATTGTGTTTGTGTAAGGAATACAAAGAGTTCATATGACCTAATGCTGAATGTAGACAAAATTTCCCCTTCTAACGCTTCTGCTTCCATGAAATTGAACTTTCCCTGCTTTCCACCCATAATGTTGAGCCAAGAACAAAATACGGTTCTATAATCACCCCTGTGTCAAGAGCTATTGGAATATTGCCCAATATTTGGTTTGTTGTTCCTCACCTCCTCTCTCTTCCATGGGTTGTGTGGTCATTTCTCCTGTGCCCAAACCTCCCCATCACTACCACCACCACCAGTCTTACTATTTTCCTGGCAAAAAGGCTGCCTCATTCGTATTACCTGGGGACAGAACCACAAAATCACTGGGACTAAACTGGGGCTTATTTTCATCAGAATTTGGGGAGATTGTCTGGAAAAGCCTTACAGGGAATCCAAAAGCACGCAAACATTCATTACAGGGTTCATCCAACAGACATTTTCTTTCTTTCTTTTTTCCTTTAGGTGTGAATAGATTTTATGACAATATTCAGGAGATGGTTGGGTACCGGCCATGCATCTGGTGGAAGCTCTGCTGGTCTTTCTTTACTCCAATCATCGTGGCAGTAAGAAATAAAATTGTGTTATAATATGAAAGATATTAAACCTTATAGAGTAAGATAAAATTATGCACACTCATTTTAAACATCCTGCTTTCTATCATTTTTCTTAGTGTTAGTCACAGAACACTTAAGCTCAAAGTAAATTATTTTTAAAAGTCTAAAGGTGATTTGCTAATGTTTGAGTGGGCCTAATCTGAATAGTCACAATAACTGTTAAAGTATTGTATCATCATTGCCTTCACAGCCACTGAGTGATGAGTTCAAGATGCATTTACTTTGCATTTACTTTGAGATCTTTCAAGTCTGACAAATTCTGCTCTCTGATTTCCCAAGTTATGCCTTTTAAATAATTTGCGTTCTGTAAAGGCATCTAAATCCTCATTGATTTGTTTGTAAAGTTCACATTTAAAAAATGCCAAGAAACAAAAGAAAAGTATAGCATCCTTTAAATGCCATCGACTGAGGTATGTTTAATCTGCCTTATGTTAAGAGCCTTCTGAAAGCATATAGGCAGATAAAGGCCAAGATGGGGCAATCTCCTAGGAAGAATATAAAATCTTTGTACATCACGTTGGAACAAATTTGGCAACTAGTGCGGAAGAAGTCTGTATGAATCAGATGTTTTGTGATGTGCAGCCACTGCAGCTGCCATAGTTCTTTGCAGCCAGATAGCCCATTGAGAAACCCAGGATTGCATGTGTTTATATAGCCCATAATCCCACTTTTGTGCCTTCAAATGAGATGAGAGGCTTGTTGAAAAATCATGTGAAGCGCCCCTCCCGCAAAAAGCTGACCTCTAAGCTAAAGTTCCCCACAACACCAGGCTGATTCACTGTTGCTATGGGGTGGATCTAGGCCAGCCAGGGGCCTAGACAGATGCTGAGTCTGCTCTGATTCCAGGGCTATGACAAGTGAACCCACATACCAGCCCCATACAAGAGTTGGGATAGTAATTTAGTTTTAAGTGACTTAGGCAGGGGTCTCACTAACTTCTCTCCTGGTCCAGCTAATAATAATTAAAAAGCCTAAGCAGTTGATTAGCCACCAGAGCAGCAGCTTTCAAATACAGACCAAGTACAGAATTCATAAATGTCATATCCAAATATTTATATGAGTTGGCCTGCAGCTCTAACAACTGATTATCCAGGCTCCATGTCCATTTCTTCCCAAACATCAGGCTTTCAATTTTGGAAGCCTCACCTTATCTTAAGACTCTTAGAATTCAGCATATCCCCAGCTGGGTATGCAACAGAAAAATAGCATTGTCATATAGCATCAGCATATAACAGAATAACAATACTCCTTTCTCTTAATTGGGGAGGGGGAAGTGTACCTGAAAAAGAAAGAAAGAACTCTACATTGTTAAGCTACAGATTAAATAAAAGCAATGCCAACAGTCACCTTTGTCTCCCTCATTCAAAGCAAAAACTTCATAGAATCATAAAAGAGTAGAGTTGGAAGGGGTTAGGAAGGCCACTGGGTCCAACCCCTGCTGTTGCGGGACACCAAGTTACACCATCCCACTCAGATGGCTGTCCAGTTTCTTTTTGAAAGTCTCCAGTGTGGGAGAGCCAACACAACTTCCAATAAGTTCTCTGCTGAAGTGTCTCTAAAATGGATGCTAGAGTTAGCATACAACTCTTGCATATAATTCTCAACAACAGACCACAATCCATATTCAAAAGAGACAGTCTGCGCCAAAGATAAAGCTAAGATACAAAAGCGGCCCCCAGATCTGCAAAGGCAGCAGAAAGAGAGTGATCAATGAAGACAAATGTTTCCTTACCAGCAGATTCAGGATGAAGCAATGGTCAGCTGGTGATCTACCATAGTGGAAACCTACCTGCTCCTCTGATAAAAGATTTCCTGAATCTATACAGCTTTCGTGTTTATCCAGAAAGTATCTTGCCTGTAGCTAGGTGGATTTTCCTTGTTCAGAGGAATACCAAAGGGAACAAGCATCAAGGGAAGGCCATTGTCTTCATGCCCTGCTTGTAGCTTACACAGGCTGGCCCAGAAATTCACACCCCAATTAATTCTCCCTTATGTTCCACCATCAATTTAAAAAAAATGGTATTCTGCTTTTGCCTATTTTCTTTGCCCATGCACTCCAATTCCATTTTACGCCTCCATAAATTTATTAAATCCATGTTCTGCCATCAGCTGGGTGAAGAAAAGTGTAAGATTTACAAGCTGTTCAAAAAATATTCACCATGCAGGTGGCACAATTCACCATCCTGCTACCACCAAGCACCACTTCTTCACCGTGCCACAGTACAGACACTCACTGTACAACTCTGGGCCATCAAAGGACAATGAGTAGATATGGTGAATCCTTGCTGGCAGCAAGCCATTGATTATTTGATTGATTGGATTTATTTAAAGAGCCACTCATTTCATTTTCCAAAGTGAAAGTCAGGCATTACTAAAGGATGTGCCAAATCTCATGATGAAAAAGGGAGACAAAATCCCAGGATGTTAAAAAAAAGTTTTATTCCTCAGAACAGTCCAGTGAATTTTAGCCCTGTACCATAAATTCCTCATCTATTTACAGGATTAATGTTTGAGTCATATTTCTTTTTTCAGAGATCTCTGCAGGCTACATTTTAAAATGTGAACTCTAAAGAGAACCCAAAAAATATATGTTATACATCTGAAACTCTATTCTGAGAAATAAACTTTTTTTTTTTTACATCACTTAGTCTCTCATTTTCCAAAATGGCAGCTGTCAACTTTCTGTACACTGAAAGAGAAACTAAGATCACACTATGCTCTTTGGTTGCACATGTAGTTTACTTCACAATATGGAGGAAAATCATGTACAGTATCTGTAATCTTAGAAAAATGTATTGACAAAATTTAGGGAAAATAGATATAAACTAATTCCTGTGTTTTCATTCATTCTCCAAATATTTCAACCCAGCCTGATGCCTTCTGTAAGGAAAAGTAATAAACATAATTTAAAATAAAATGCTAATCTTCCAACAGAAGGTTAGAGGAAGAAGCATAACATCTGCTCATTTGGCCTAAAATATGTTATTTCAGATAATTTAGTGTTTATTTTTAGTGCACAGGTGATGATAATCTAATATAAAAGCTGCCATCTTATATTTCCTTCTTTCCCAAAATCTTTCTTGTTGAGCAGAGAGAATATCTCCCTTTGCTGATTCAGTTAGCAAATGTAGCTTTGGGCTATGGTTGGCAGTGGGCAAGAACGGGCCTGATTGTGAATACATAGACAAGGCATTTTATGTTGTTGAGAACCAGAAAGAAAAACATGCAAACTGGATTTAGGGGGCAGTTCTGTGTACATTTAGACACAAAAAAGATATACACCTCTGCTAGGAGTTGTGGGATTTTATTTCCTGTCTAAGCATGCATCAAATTGTGCCCTTAAGATTTTTGTTGTGCAATGCACATGAAAATAACATGAATCAACATAAATGGCTCGGATCATTTTTCCTTGTACACCAAAAACCATGTCAAGTAGCAGTTTTTCAGACTGATAAGATTAATTCAGTAATCAAGTTTTAAACTCAACCTTACTAGGCATGTTTATTATCAAATGTCGTGTAAGACATACAGATCACACAGAAGCAGGTAGAACAGTTCAGGGATCTGTGAAGAAGTACATATATGCAGAATTGATGACTGACAGTTGCCGTTACCTCTTCAGCACGATAATGTGAGATGCTGAGCCATGGCGTAGCTTTCTGCTCCTGGCCTTCAGCACTGTGGAGTAAAGGTGTGTTTGCCCTACCATAATGAATGCACAAACTGGAGTCAGGTAAACAGGGAGCTGCTTGCATAGCCTGGGCTTCAGTAGCACCATGAGGGGTGGTGAGAGTTACTTTAGCCTATGGTAAAGTCCAGGAGGAAGACTAGGGGCAGGGAAGTGTAGACCTCCAAGCCCCAGTTCCACCCTTCTTTCTGTGATACTGCAAGCTATCATGCTCTGCCACCTTCACATCTCAAACTGTTATTGGAGGATTAACATTATAGAGAACACTATTAATCCAGTCCTAATTAATCCTGTTAATTCTGCCACCATGACTCCTTCAGCCTCAAAATCTTCAGAGCCTTTAAAAGGATATGCCCAGCATGAAGGAGAGGATTTGGTGTGGAGGGTGCTCCTCGGGACACAATGCCCAGCCTTTATCTTGGCGCCTTTACCCATAACCTGGTAAGGACTCCATCAGGACAGTTCCCTCTCACTCACCCTTCCACCCAGCAATCACCTCCACACCTAACCTACCTCAGAGCATAACATGGGAGAACTGAGAATGCCACCCTGAACTGTTTGGAAGAAGAACAGGGTAAAAATAAACATGTGATAAATTAAAAGGGGTGAGGTGTATCCCCAGGACCAAGCAGGAGTCACTCCATGGCCGTGCAGTCTTCCTAGAGGAGGAAATTTGTAGAATTAATAGGGAGGAATGTGTCTGAGGGGAAGAAAGAATGGCACACCATTATGTCATCACATTCTTGTGAAACCTCCTCTAATGTTAAGTAGCACTAAAGAGCTTCCAACCCTTGCTGCTTATTAGGGGTAGAGGGAAAAGGTTTGGATAGGGAGAAAGAGAAAACTGCCCTTTTGCTTTTTACCGTTCTTCCCTCATGAGAGGCCTCTTCCCAACTAATTTCCTACGCCCAAAATTGTGTCAGTTATGAGGGGCTAGACCAGGGCAATTCTTTCCTCTCCATTTTCCTTTCTCTTTCAACAAACTGCTCAACTACTCTTCGCAATTTTGGGCTTCAGTCTGTGTCATATTACATTTGTTTCTCTTTAAACATACGTTCAAAGAGGTCTACGTTCCAGAGAGCTTCCTGGGCAGACAGAAGCTACAAACTTGTCTGTGGATGGTTCTGTTAGGCACAACAGATGCCTCCCTCCTGTAAATCAAACATTTTATGTGTGTGCATTGTGGCAGTGGGAAGTTCGATGCGTTTCTGAAACTCACTAATACCTATCTTGGCTCACGTGTATCTGTGTATAGAGATTGGTGGCTGTCTAGAATTAAAAATGACAGTTTCTAAAAGAAGGGCTGATGGGAGAAAATAGTTTATTTATTTATTTTATACATGTATTTATAGGCCACCTATAACTGCCGAGGCTTTCCTAGGTGGCAAATGGTTAATAATAATAACTTGCATAACATAATAACTTGCAAAATATCCTTTTCAGGGTGTATTTCTCTTCAGTGCTGTGCAAATGACGCCTCTCACTTTGGGTGATTATGTCTTCCCAAAATGGGGCCAGGGCGTTGGCTGGTTCATGGCTCTGTCATCTATGGTGCTGATTCCGGGCTACATGGCATACATGTTCCTTACTTTAAAAGGATCCTTAAAACAGGTAAGCTCTGAGTTTAGTGCTGTGCTTGCCCTTGGGAGAGGTTCCAGGTTTAGCATGCGCCAGATACTGTTACATCCCCAATCATAATGTGTCACATACTTAGCTGCTTTAAGATGTCACTGGGTCAGCACAATGTTCTGCAATTCTATGTGGCCTCTGAAAACCGAAAAATTAATTTAAACTAAACTTAATCAGATCAGCAATGGTAGGCATGCCCAGTAACCTGCCATATATGCTGTTCGTTTGACTCTTTTCTGTGCCTTCCAAAAAGCGACCAGTGCTTTTGGTATGATAAAGTGAACACATAGGTCAGTTTGTGCCCATAGGAATGCTAGTTTGTTTTGCCCCACCCTCTTTTACCTTACCCAAATTTTTGTCCTGGGGATGCCACTTACCATGAGGCAACCTTTTCCTTTTTCACCCCTTCGGTTCAGTTTTGTACAGTCATTGCCCATTCTTTAACATTTATGGCTTTGTCAATGAGCACTTACAGGAAATCCGGTTGCTCCATTCTTTGGGTGTACTGGTTGCTCTGTATATACAGAGTTAATATTTGAGGATGGGGATTTAAGTAATGGATACTATCGCAACTGCTTTTGCCTATATCTATACAGATAAACCAGAATCAACATGTCAAAGTGCAAGGTTAATAAAAAGTCCACATAAACAGAATTGCCATCACCTGACAGCAGAAAGGCAAGGGCAATAAACTACCTGCAGGTGTGACTACAGAAAATGCACATCCCAAGTAACCTAGCATCCATCTAAGCCAGGACTTCCCATGCCAGAACGTTCTTTCAACCAAACATTAGTTATGTGGGCAGGATGATATGGGAGGAACTGGTCACTTAGGTTTTAAGAGAAGGGATGTTTGAGGGATCTTCTGTCAGGCAGAAGACTGAAAGTTCACCAAACTAGTGATCGCTGCAGCTTCTCTCTCTGCTTTGGAAAAGCACCTCTTCTGTCCATGCTAGCAAAGCAGTCCAGAGGAAGTGGCATTCAGATGGGCAGACAGGTTCACAGAGATGTGTCACATTATGATACAAAATGATGCCTGCATCTCAAGGAACCAGGATGTACATTCTCTTGTGATATTGTTCCCATTGTGTGGCAGATGAAAACGTATCAAACAGATCTGATTGGGTAAAATTGACACATATAAAAGGGCCAACTCTTACAGCTTTTCAGATTTAATTTTATTTTTTATTTAGGAAGCCCTATGCTTTTAGGAATATTTTTAGGAATGTTTAGCATGAGGAATTTAAAACTTTTCAATTTTTTTGATCACATTTTATAGAATATTCTGTAAGTCTACTTTGACACAACTAGGAAGACCAGGTGTAGTCTTTCCATAGGGGTTCCATGTCTCAAAGGGGTTCTAGGACTTTGAGCAGTATCCTTCAAAAGCCAGAATAATACCACAGAAATATGACCACCACTTCTCCACTAAATATACTTGAGAAAACTGTTGCGGTGTCAAGAGCCGAAATTCTGTGGGTGGTTTACTAAATCAAATGAAAATGAAGAACAATCATGTTAAAAATTGAATGTATTTCCCTTTTTTTCTACTTTAGCGTATCCAAGTAATGATCCAGCCAAGTGAAGACATTACTCATCCTGAAAATGGACCAGATCAGGCCCAGCAGAGCAACTCTGCAAACAAAGAAGCATATATATAAAGTTTGGGTCACAGAAATGATTCAAACCTTCATTTGGGGGGCAAAAAATATATATAAAAAACAAACATGGTTGAATATGACCACAAATTTATGTCTGAGAATAAAATTACCTACCTCTAGTGGCACAAAAGACCATCACCACTATAAGGGAAGCAATGTGGGTATGAGCAAACCATTTGTGGGCTTAGTTGTTGACAGTGTTTTGTGTTTTTTGGCAATCCATAGACTGTTAACATTTTTATTCGCTCTCAATAAGAGCTGAATATCTTTGAAATTTATAAACAACACATGTAGGCCATTTTTAATCTACCTTTTAGCACACAAATTTGAGGTTTTGTGCAGCTGGTTTTTATTAATATATTTCTTACTATTTAAATCCCAAGACTGTTATTTCTGAGAATTGGAAAACTGTTTTGTATTCACCAGCAAGGTATTTTTTACAAAGAAAAGTTATACTGAAAATACTTCCCTGGAAATATTAACCGACTTGATTCTTGAGTTGGTTTTTCTAATTTTCTTGAAAATTTCCTTGCATTCAACAATATATTGGATTACTCATATACAAACGGCATTAACCAACTCTTTCTAGAGATACAGCACAGCCTAAATTGCACCACTACTTAACTATATTTAATGGGCCTCTAATGCATATGATTTTATAGTATGTGTCTTTTAGGATATTTTCAGTGTTAACACTTTAAAACATATATTGAATTTTTTTTTTAGCTAACAGAAGTGGCAATATGATTACATACTTATTCAAATTGTGATGAGTCCCACCCAAAAGTTGACCATTTTTAAAGCTGTACAAATTATTCATTATTTAAACCAGGTGGTTCTTCACTTTCTGTTGTGTCATTGACCAGTAACACCTTACCACTGAAAAAAGAACCAAACAAATACCTTACATTGTAAAATGCTCCCCATGGAATATAATGCCGTGCTTTCAAATTAGCACTAATTTAGTCAGTCTGTTGAAAGCCTATCAACAATAAAAGATTCTGACTAACAAAGTATCTTATAAAGCACTTTGAAGAAAGATTTTTATTTTTATGATTTTAGTTAGATACATGTTTTTCATGGTGATGATGGAGATGCAAAAAAAAAAGGTCTTGCCATAAACAGCTTCACTCTGCGCTCTACCGTGCATTTTTCACACAGGCGTGCATGGCTAATGGATTTGTTCCTGTGTAGAAAACTGCAAGTTTAAAGAGTCCATCAAGGCATTTCTTGTTTGGCAGCTATGGAACAGACAGTGGCGATTATGAGAAAAATGGTATGTGAAGTTTGATTTCTAAAACGACTGTGATAGAACCGTGCAATGAAAAATGCTCTTCAGCAAAACCTTGTGCAACGTACAATGTTAGATAGCACCCATTTTTCGTAGAACTACTGTGTGAACAACATGTTAACTGTGAATGTTGGTTTTTTTGTTGTTTTTGTCTGAAGGTGACAAACTTATGTTCTTGCAATAAGGTATTATTCTCAGAATGTCAAGCACATTATTGTAGAAAATACATATATACATATATTTCAACTTAACAAATTTTTAAAAATCTCATAAAAAGAGTATTGTTTAGTAGATTCTAAACTGTTTCATACAGTAGGTCAACTGTAAAATATTCAGAAATCTGTGATACATACTAAATGTCTATAGAGGAATTCACCAATAAATCCAAATGTCTTGTAGATTTTCCGGAGTTAGAAGAAAAAGAAAACATGTCATATTTCACATGCTTCATATACATTATAACTGTGAATTTCATTAGACTTAAGATACAAATTCAAACTTTCTCTTATCGTTTATGTAACCAAGTCCCATGTTGTTCTAATAAAAATCCAGTATTCAATGTTTGATTGTAGAACTCTTATGACAGATGTTTGACAGATTTGCTGTTTAGCAAATTCTGTACAAACTTATCATATATAGCACAAAAATAGTGTTGTAGAACTACTGTGTGTAAACTGTGTATAGCTGTATCTTTTTGTAGTATTTGCCCTTAAAAGAAGAAAGAATATATGATCATATATGCTTTTTGCAATAATGAATTATTCTCTAAACACCAAGCAAATTTATCTCTATATAAAAATATATGTAATATATACACATTCTAAAATATATATAGAGCCTGTTTTAAAAAGAGAGAGAAAGTACAGTATAATTTAGAAAACTGCAATGTTCTATGGACCAAATGTAAAATATTTATAAATTAAGATGCATTTAAAATGTCTATAAATGGTGTCCTAACTAAAGCACGGTTGTTATGTAACTTTCCAAGAGCTTAGAAAAAAAATAAAGATTATATTATACATTCTATGAAGTGGCTTTACAGTCATTCTTTAGTTACACAGGAGATTTGAAATGACTATTCATAATGTTGGGAAATGAATTCCAGTATATAAGATCCCTTGCCCAGTTCAGACACAACATTAGCAGGCAAACAGTTCAGCTTTTGGGAGAAGTTAGCAATAAGCTTACATTATGCCTTCATTTTCCTAATTATCTCATACGCCAGGTCTCCTAGTACACTACCAGCAGAACCGTATGCCCCCCCAGCTCTGACAGGGGGCAGGTAAATAAGTTTATTTGAGTCCCCTCTCTGAGCCACTATGGGAGCACCTGCCCCACCCCTGTAGGAGTCAGCATGGAAAGGACTATACCATCTGTCTCTCGAAGGTCACACACTGGTCTCACAGAGAAGAAAAAGGGCTATGGCGGGGATGGTGATCGGAGGATGCTGAGACTGACAGGTTACGCTATACCTGAATAGTGCTCCAGCCTCCTGCTCTCTTCTCCATGCCACTTCATCAAGACGACCAACAGCTAGCAAGATGAGATGCAGCAGGTGGTGGGGTTCAACAGACTCTAACGTTCTTGCTCACTTATGAATTGCATCTTTTCTACTCGTGCAGAAGGGAGGGCATTGTCTTCATTAGGCATGTATACAGACTTGGTTGACTTTGCTTGGTCTGCTTTTCACTGACTGTCAGGTACCTTCCATTCCATTGTCCACTTATTAACAAAATCAGATTTGGTGCAAAGTCACACTTGTGCAAATTTTCACCTCCAAATGTTTGCAAATAACCCCCCCCCCAAATATTACACTTTTTCCCACATTAAGTCGATGAGAGGAATATGTGTTTGAGCAGTGTTTTTTGCATTACTTTTCTACAAGTACAGTTGGGTATAGTTACATAAAGCAAAAAAAAATCCATTCTGAAAGTGCAGAATCCACATGCCTTGGTCTGCTGTGAAATCTGCAGGGTAGATTCATGGAAATCAAAAGTCCTTTGAGTTTGTTGCAGATATACTCAACATCCCTCGTTTTCACTGGTTTGAAACATTCTTCTTTCACCTTTAATTAACATTTATTCATTAGCACTTTTTTCTGTGCATAGAATCTCTTGCCAAATCAGGTTCTCTGCATGCAAAGGGGTGCTGCCTGAAGGATTTCCACAACAGGGCACACAACACAAATACAGAACCCTCTCCAAATACATATGCCTCAGGCAATGCTGACTAATGGTTGGAGAGGTCTAGAAATCCAGTTCCACTTCTTCCCCACTACCAGTGACTGAACCAGTCTGAAGGGGCCCACCAGGACTGCTTGCAGTATTCAGTGTGCTTCAATTGAGCCTGATCAAGAAAAGCAGGCCTTAAATAAGGCCTAGTTAGCATTGTGGTGTTTCCAAGTTTCTAGAAGAGCTTTTCTCCTCATCCTGAAGGCATCCTGTGAGCAAATAAAAGAGGAAATACAGATAAAGTCACAATTTCCCTGTGGGTCCCAAAACCCCCAAAGGAATTCATGTTCTCACTTATATGGAGCATTAGCTCAGATGCTTATGCTTTAATTCTAAAATGTTGATCTCTCAGACATACTTATTTTCAGGAAAGGTTTGTGAATACTTGAGTCTACATGCCAGTATTATTATTACCATGAAAATCCAACTGAATTCTTATTTATTTTATATACAAACTGAGGAAAATCACCTGCGAAAACACCGTCCAGCAGCATCCAGCAGCATGGTTGCTTGATGGTAATTTAGAGGTTAGTGTCAAATGTAATAACTTTGGTTACAGAGACAGATGGTATCTAGTTGATATAACCAAGCAGGCAGGGCTGTGGGGAACAGGGTGGGAGAGTCTTCAGAGTGATCTAGAACAAGACAGAAACTTTTTCAATATTACAGTGATGAACAGCAACACCAACTTGCTGTTTGAAAAGGTATATTGATGGGTTGGGGGAGTTTTTAAATGTGTTAAAAGCAAGAGGATGACCTAGTCTCCCATGGCATCCTTTCCCCTTCCATAAGCACTGCTTGCAAATGCACTTCCCTGCTGCTGACACAGACCTGCTATCAGGTCTATTTCACATGAACTGTGGATAGAGGACTGCAGAACCAGAACACACAGGCAATTGACTGGACCACCTTCCCAAGTTGCCTTTGGTCACTTTCAAAAATTGTTTCTTTCCCACCTGCTAATCTACTCATTATTGCCTGTTAGAATATATTTTACAGTTTAATTAAGATTTACTTATTTATTAGATGTATATTCCACCTTTTCCTTTTTTAAACAACTCAGAGCTTAATCATTCTCCTGCTGCTCTCAATCTTATCCCCACAACAGCCCTGCAAGGTAGGTTGAGCTGGGAGTCTGTGACAGGCCAAAGTCAACCAGTTGGCTCAATCGTCAAGCAGGGACTAATACCCAGGTTGCCTGAGTCCCACATCTGCACTCTTATCCACTATGCTTCTGTCTTCCAGTCATTCAGAATTTCAGGTTTCATTGTCCCATCCCCATGTACTGGGGCCAAATGCCTCTCCCACCAACCTGCCCCTGAATCACCTCCCCCCCATCCTCACCGGCTTAAATCTGAGGGTGGCCACAGTCTTGAGGCAAGAAAGGCTGCACCGAGGCTTTCATGAATTCTGAAACCAGCCATGACAATTTATTCCAGAAGTAGAGGCAGCTCCCTGGAGAACCTTTGAGAACACCA